GACTAAACCTCTGAAACTAGGTAGGTGCCCATGCTCCAGTAGATGGCTCTGCACCCATGAACATACAGACAGAACTGACTGGACTCAGTGGGAGACAGTGAGACACGGTGAGAGAGGAGGAACTGGGGACAAATTTGATGGAAACACATTGCACACATGTGTAGGAGGCACAGAGTCCTTGTGTTCACAGATAAGCACTCTGGAGACCAGGAACGTTAAACATACGGTGTTGTCTCTTCAAGGGCAAAGATGTATAGCCTGTTTTCCACCCAGAAGGCCAGAAGTGGATGTGATTAACAGCCTGGTGACCTTTAACCCAGGATCCTCCCCCAGACCCTTATCATGAGCTTCTTTTTCTCAGTCAATCTACAGAACCTATCTTTATGGAAGCTGTCACATGCACTTTACAAAGAGTTTCAGCATAGTCATTCCTTAAGCTTTGTTGTGCACATAGGATTGAGTTATTTATTAACAGGAAAATTTTCACCAAATTGTGCTGTGCTTAAATATGCCTGAAATAAACTACCCAGTATCTGACTCCCAAAGTTTGAACCAACACCAGCTACTGAGTTGAACCGAGCTACCTTTTTGCCTCCCATGCTGGCCATGGTGGCTGCAGAGACCCTGGCACACATGTATGGAAATAAAGGCATTTTTAAAAGAGAACGGGTCAGCCTGGCTCCTTGCCTGGCTCCTGATTGCTCTGACTTCCGTCTCTATGTGCTCTCTTCTGTCTACCACGCCCCTCTGCTGTGACAACCCCTGCTGTGTAGTCCTTCCAGGGCCCAGACAGTGAAACGCATACCCAGAACCCCCCAGAATTATGGGCTAAATAAACCTGTTTTTATTGACAAAGTTACCCAACCTAGATCTTTTGTTACAGCAATGAAAAACTGTAGTCATATACTCATCTAGAATCCTTTTCTACTCTATCTTCTTTTAAAACCTACGTACAGGGCTGGAGAGATGGCCAGAGGTTTAAGAGCCCTGGCTGCTCTTCCAAAAGATCTGAGTTCAATTCCCAGCAACCACATGGTGGCTCACAACCATCTGTAATGAGATCTGGTGCCCTCTTCTAGCCTGCAGGGATACATGCAGGCAGAACATCACATAGATATAATAAATAAATCTTAAAAAAAATAAAAAACCTATGCACAGTTTCTCCCCACCTAGGACTAAGCTTCCCCATATGTTCCTCATTTTGGGGGCCTCTTCTATCTCCACAGATGAGTCTTTAACAAATCAGAAGACAATTCGTTCTCATAGGTAAAGCACAGTTTATTCATTAACGTCAGTCAGTACAATATGCACTACAGTACACCATGAGGTACACAGCATAGGCCTGGGAGAAGCCACTTCACAATAAATTAGAGGAGCTGTCTGTTCCTCCTACGACAGCATCCGGGATCTTTCAACAGCCACACATTGCTATAAATACCACAGCTGCCAACTCGGCTATTTTCAGGTGGATCAGAGAGCCGAGACCTCAGTCAGCAGCTGAGATACACTCAAACCCCAATTTTTCCAGTGAGGCTCCAGCCCAGATGAGAGAATTCCTTCCACAGCAGCAATTTCCAAGAAAAGACCCTCATTTTAAATAGTTATGGGGGCTTTCCACATCTCTCTCCCTTTCAAAGTTAGCTGTTGACCACTGAGAAAAACGAGGGGGAGGCCCGGAGGGAGAGGGCAGGAGCTCAAGGTGAATTGTGTATCCCTAAATAATCAGACAAGGCACTTGGTGTCAAGCCTCAGAAGTCTCTCGATGATTCTGGTCAATCCAGGCTAAAACGATGTCTAGCTCTCCTAGAGACTTAAGGGCAGCAGATGAGACCTCCAGCTAAAACAAACAAACAAACAAACAAACAAACAAATAAATAAAACTTTAAAACGGCATCATGAGGTCCTGTCTGCCTGTGCACAGTCTGTATATTAGAGCCCATATTCTGAGCCCTACGCAGTTTTACTTTTTATTTACCAACCCTTTTGCACAGCACACAGAATCAAAACTTATTTCCCTCATAGCTTAGCACCCCCCAACACACACACACAAACAAGCAATTTCAATCATTTCAGCTCCTGTACACAAATCTTAAAGTCCTTCATTCCTTTCCCCTCCTTTTCACAGGAAATATTAGCCTTGCTGGCCAGGTCTTCATGATTTTCTACTTATATCAGTTCAATTTAATCATTCTTGTTTTGTGGGAATCCTTATTCTCTTTGGTGCGCTCCAGTGAGTAAGGAGAACATGCGGCCCCTTCCTGACATGCCAAAGCACTGAGGCCCCAAAGGTGTCTACCCAAACATCACACAGCCAGGGACAGAATCAGACCTAGCACGTAATCCCTGACATAGTCCACGTCCTTCTGTGCTACCTGGAGATGGTAGGAACTACTCAGCACGGGCCTGTGTCCTAGCTCTACCAGCAGCTGCAGAATGAGCTCAGTCAACTCACATAACCTATTTGTGCTTCATTTCCTAATTTACCAGCGCAGTTTGCACTCAGAGCCTTGCTGTGAAGGGTCAGTGTGGCACCACTTCAGGGGTCCAGGGACCCTGTCTGGCTCACAGTACAAACCCCTTGAATCTTCACTCTCCCTACATCACCACTTAAAAAGCCTGTCCCCCCGCCCCCCAAAAGCCACGCTCCGAAACAGTCCTAACCTCTTTGCTCTTCAATGCGCTGGCATCATTTGAGAGTGCCAAGAATGAGGAACTTAGGTCTCACCATAGAACTACCGTACTTCAATCAAATCTGCAGATGGCACACCCTGGTAACCCTCCTGCATCAACACCCATGTGAGAAGTACCAGTGTGCAGGATGCCAAGGGTCCTGACTGCAAACCACTGTATGTGTTGTGTGGCATGGGTAACAGCTTCAGATTCACTGGGGATCACTGATCCTTCTGTACGAGCATATCTTACTTAGGCCAGGCCTGATGTGAAGGTGTAAGAAAACAGGAGAGGGAGGATGGAGAAGAGGACCAGGGAACTGCCCAATGGCCTACAGCATTTTGCAGACATCAGCTTGGATGGGCCTTCAATGAAGACTGATGGAAAGAATAAGTGATTTTGCATGGAGGGAAGGCTGAAATATCAGTACTCTCTCAACCATCTCGTTTTCTGTCTTCCCTATACTCTCCCCAGACCTCACCTGATCGTAGTTGTCGTGGATGATTCTGGTTGCGTTGGTGGCTTCCTGACTGCAGTGACATTGACTGCGGGCCTGCTGGGACACAACGAGAGCGGCACACGTTAAAGGACTGTTACATGACCTCCTCCTACACGCCCCTCCTCCCTACACGCCCCTCCTCCCTACAGGCCCCTCCTCCCTACGGGCCCCTCCTCCCTACACGCCCCTCCTCCCTACGGGCCCCTCCTCCCTAGTCAGGTAAAAAAGCTTAGGGGAAGACAGCTGGGAGAGACTAGAGTCTGTGGAGAAAGTCTGCATTTTACCCTGGCTTCTGTTCCTTCTGCATCTGCAGTCAACCGAGTGGTTGGCATCAGAAGAGCAAGCACCAGGTCTACCTTGTCACAATGCTGAATGCAACACCCCACAAAGTTAACTAATTGAGTAAATACATCCATTTGATTGCATGATTGTAGGTTTTAAAGCGGGACAGGGAGCAGTACCCTTTTTTTTTTTTTAAGGTTTATATATTTTATGTATAAGTACATACTCTATCTACATGTACACCTGCATGCCAAAAGAGGGCATAGATCCCATCCTAGATAACAGTGAGCCACCATGTGGTTGCTGGGAATTAAACTCAGGACCTCGGAAGAGCTACCAATGCTCTTAACTGCTGAGCTATCTCTCCAGCCCCAGGGACCAGCACCTTTTCTAACAGAATTTTTGAATCTGAGACAAAGAAGGAAGCCGCCACCTGCCGCAGAGGAACCACACCATACAGGAACTCATCAACAGCCATTAGGCTGGAGTTGATGGTTTCTCTTAGCCTGAGTTTTGGTTGGTGATTTTTGCTTTTGTCTCTGTTTGATTTTAATAAGTGAAGGTGAACTTACAGGTGACCCTTGGAGATGGGCCTTACCATATGACTTCCCAGCTATGTCTTAGTGTGGAAATTCCAAAGGGTCAGAAACAGGAAGTCCAGAGGTGTGCTTACAGTCAGAACGCAACCCTTGGTACGTCCCTCTGAGGGGCTACTACACTCAGGAGATGCTCTGGCATGCACTGCTCACTCCATGAGGGGACCTGTCTGACGAGGGGTCAGCAGGCCCCTGAGGCTGGTAAAACCAATCGCAAAGTCTTGAAGGACACAGAAGCGAATGGCAGGACAAGAATGCCCCGGCTCCCCAAGTCCCGGGCTCCTTCTGGACAGATGGGAGCGGCTGCTTGGAATTCGGACGCACCGACTTACACATTGCTCCAGAGTTCTCTGCATGTAGAGGAAAGAGTTGGCAATGCCGCTGATCCTCCTCATGACCTCGGGGCTTGTCTCCTGATGGTCCTTGAACACCCTGTCTCTGTAGAAGGTCAGGAGGTGGCTGGTGACGCAGCAGACATCTACAGGCTACAGACACAAATTAGAGCATGCCCCAGAGGCCCTCTGTTCCTGGCACTTCAGAGAAAAAGGGCAAGAAGTCAAAGAACAAAACATTCTTTTCCAGAATTCAGGGTATTCTCCCACACTTCCCACAGTCAAGGTACTTATATCCAGGAGATATATTATTGAAGAGTAGGGCTTGGAATCCCATCACAGACAAGGATTCTCACCACAGCATCCCCAGCACAATATCAGGAAGTTCTTAAATCCCTCCAAGAACCAGGTGCCTCCTTTATGAGACAGTTTGCATTCCATAAACCAAGACTGTCAGCTCTGTCCAGCAACATCTTCAGCTCCTGGATACCAGGTATCATACCAGTCATGACCAATATATTCATCCTGACCATTGAGCCCTGAACCACACACACTACTGGGCTCCCTAGAAGTTTTCTCCCCTTAAACCGGCAGGGCGGGGGGCTGAAATTTGCAAGAGTGGAGATTGGCAGCCACATCTGGGAAGGTCAGAGGACTGCAATGGAAAGCAGATGCCTCCAAGACAAGACTCCAGATGCTCAAAGCACAGCCCAGAGAAGCAGTGGACAGTTGCCTTCTAGCAATTTGCACTCTGCAGGCCTAAGGAAGTACTGCAGAAGATTTACACCCCAGCCTCTAGCCCAAGGGCAGCTTTTCCTAGACAGTGGCAGACTAATTGAAAGGCAGGATCTCTTCCCCTGCTCTCACTGGGCCCCTTAGCCAGAGGGAAAGTTACACACCTCTGTGTTATTAAAGACTGTGGCATTAAAAAAAAAGAACCCATGAGAAAGAAAGAGAGAAAGAAGGGAAGGAAGGAAGGAAGGAAGGAAGGAAGGAAGGAAGGAAGGAAGGAAGGAAGGAAGGAAGGAAGGAAGG